TAATAATAATAATAATAATAATAATAATAGGGCCAGTGAGATAGCTCAGCAGACTAAGCACCTGCTTAGGCAAGCTCAGAGACGGGGGTTGATCCCCGGCACCACATGCTGCACCAGCTCTGGTGATGAGTCTGGACATGGTGGCACATGCCTATAACCCTAGTGCTGGGGAGGCTGGAAACATGAGACCCTGTACAGAAAAACAAAAAATACATTAAAAAAATAATAATAACAGGGTCAGTGAGACACTTCAGTGGTCTAAAGCATCTACTTAGGCAAGCTCAGGCAGGTACAGGGGAAAGCAGTTGGCCCCTGGCATCACACATCGCACCAGCCCCACCCTCACGGTGGGCTGAGCCGGCCAAGAAAAAAAAAGAAAAAAAAATAGTAAGATGATAATACAGTAACTTTGATTCTAAAAACATAAAAAAGGACTTATGTGAATAATCTTATACATTTAGTAAGAATTCAGTTAAAGTTACATATTTTTTCTAAGCTCCACTTTTTGGAAACAATTTAAAAACCATAAATCCCCTCTCAGACAACTGCCCAGGGATTCTAAACTACATCAACTGGGCTAGACTAGGGGGATGCCTGAATGAATTAGCTCAAGATCCCTCACCTTAAGGAACTCACAACCTAGTGTGAGAAAGACAAGTCTGGCAGGGCATGGCAGTCGGACCACACCCCTACTAATTTTTGTACTTGGAAGACTGAGATAGGAGGATCACCTAAGGCCAGCCTAGGTGACACATAAGATGAGTTCAGGGCCAGCCTGAATTGAATTAAAGCAAGACCGTCTCAAAAAGAGAGACAGAGACAGAGACAGAGACAGAGACAGAGACAGAGACAGAGACAGAGACAGAGACAGAGACAGAGACAGAGAGAGAGAGACAAGCCTGTGACAAATAGATTTTTGGCAATGCTTAAAGAAAAACAATGAAAATGCTGTGGTAAAAGGAACTCAATCTGAGGGACTGGAGGAGTCACAGTATAGCTGGCATCAGAGTTGAACCTAGGACTTGCCTAGAAGGGACAAGGAGAGGAAAGCATTTCCCAGGTAAAGCATACAGAATGTGTAACAGGAAACTGCACGGCAAATGAGTACCATCAGGAGGCTTTGCTTTGGAGTCACACAGAACTGATCATAGCTCACTCTCCCTTACTGGGTAGCCTGGAGCAAGTCATTGAATCTCTGCATTCTCTTTTCTCAACTACAAAGTAGGGATGGTAATGTCTACTTCAAAGGGAGGATTAAACATGATTGTGAATATGAAGCACTGAGTTCCAGAGTGAAAACTGGAAAAACTGTAGCTATTGGGATTAGGTGTAAGAGTAGTGAGAAGGTGAACTGTTTTCAGCCTAAAAAAGTTCTTGCAACCTAAAAGGTTACAAATGGCTGGTGAGAACACTACAACCATAGAGCTTTCTAACAAAAGGGAAAAGGTTAAATATTCGCTTTAGAAAATGAACTCTGAGAGCTGGCCAAAAAGCGCCTGCAAGCTGGCACAGCGGCCAAGGGTTTGATCCCAGGGCCTGCCAGGGTCGAGCTGCCACCACCCCTCCCCCGAGGGGGGGCGGTGGGGGCAGTGGTTAAGACTGGTTGTGATGGTAATCCCAGCACTTGGGAGGCTGTAAACAGGAGAATCACTACAAGCTCGATCTAGTAGTGAGACCCTGAACACCTTGTAGACTCTTCCAAAAAGAAAAAAAAAAAAGGAACTCTGGTGTCCACTAAGGGTAGTCAAAAGAGAGTACCTGAGAGAATAAGGTGAGCGGAATACAGTAATTTCAATAGATTAGGAAGCAAGACATTCACTCAGAAAATCTTTAAAGTTAAATCCACAATACTTAATGGATAGCAGCATTTGGTGAGAGACAAATAAATGGATAACAGCCCCCTCACCCAGGTGAATGGTTATGTTTCTGGTAGAAAAGATGAGGGGGAAAAAAGGAAGAAGGGTTATGCAGTATGCTGATTGATCTTTTGCACTTACTTTCACTACAGTCTTATAAAGTTAAATGTCCTTGTTGCCGGGTGTGGTGGCACATGCCTATAATACCAGCACTGGGTAGGCTGAGACAGGATCATCAAGTTTACAGAGACCAGCATTGGCTACAAAGTGAGCTCAAGGCCAGTCTGAGCTACATAGAGAGACCCTGTCTCAAAAGGACAAAAATAAATTTAATAATGTTAAATGTTAAATGTCTGTAGCAGTTCTCAAAAAGGAGCGCTCGGCAGTTGCAACTCCAAAATTAATATCTAGTTCTACCAATTAGGGCTCTACCAGGACAAACTCCCCAACTATCTCATTCCAGGAACTAGCTCCTGTTCCTTTATTTCCACAAGAGATGCAGCTCGCCTGGATATCATCAACGACTCACAAATGCTGGCTGGAGTGACGACCCCCAGAACATCGACAAATCCACTAGTGAACGAAGAAAGTCAATTTAGCACCTGTATTCCTCACCAAAGGAGGGAATTAGTGAGAAAGCACCCCGCTGCATTGAGATCCAAAGTACGTGTACCAAGTTATATTTATAAACTTTGGCTTGTTTTGATTCGAACGACAGAAGCCAACTCTCACCACCACTCCCCAAATGGTACTTTGCTTCGACAAGGAAAGGAGATCGAGATGACTAAGTGGTGGATGGGGAAGGGGAGGAGGAAGGAGAACCGAGCGGCGAACGGGGCCGAACCCACGCCTTCCTGGAGTTGAAACTTCCCGGCGGTGTGATTCTGCAGTCACAAGGCGACAGTTTTCTCGGACTCAGCGCAATTTCAAACGACCCACCAACAAACAGACCTAACTCCGGCCGCCGGCCTTCTTCCTTCCTCAGACCAGGCCGGGCCTCCGGCCCAGGGTGGGGCAGCTCCGCGGCACGGGATCCCCACTGGGGTTCCGGGGCTCTGCGCTCAGGCCTTTCCCGCGGCGCCGGCCTAGGCTCTGCCAGCCAAGCGCCGTAGTCACGGCGACCCCCGCCAGGGCCGCGGACGCCGAGACAAGGGGGATCCCGCCCGGCCCCGAGAGAAGAGTCACGGGAACGTCCGCGTTGGGCGGAGGGCCGGCGGCAGCCCCGGCGCGGCCTGCAGCTCCCGCCCAGGCTGCGGCCTAGATGGCCCCGTTAATTCACTCAGCTCGCACGCGGCCCGGCGGGACGGCGGGGCCAAACAGAAAGGGAGCCCGAGCGACGGCGCCTGGAAAAGTCCCGGGCGTGCTGCGGGTCCCCAGGTCCAGAACGCCGCCCCCCGCCTGACCGGCGCCGGAGAATGGCTTTTACCTTCATCAGCCTCCTGCTGGCCGCCATCTTGGATCTGGTGCTGCTGCTTTCCCAGAATGCATTGCGGAAGGCCGGGCGGCTGAAGCCCCCGCACTTCCTGGAGAGGGGGGAGGGGGAGGCATGAGGGGCGGGGCTCCTCCCTGCGGGAAGCGCCTGCTGTGTACTGGTTACTGTGCCGCTGAGCAGGAACCGGTGAACCCTGGTAAACTACACAAGACTTGACCTTTATGGAACAAACATCTAGTGCTATAGCAAATGCGAAGTGCCTGGCACCTAATAGGTGCACAATAAATTTTGTTGTATAAAATAGTTGAAAACTAGAATTATTTCAGAAATTGATAAATGCTGTGAAGAAATGAAAATGGTGATGAAACGGTGACTACGGGAACCTACTTTTCATTGAGAGATCTGGGAGGATTCACTGAAGAAACAGTATAAAAATTGACACTGAGCTAGTTGCAGGGGGTATGCCTGTAATTCTAGCACTCAACAGGTTGAAGTAGGATGATTCCTAGGAGTCCAAGGCCAACTTGTACTACATAATGAGTTCAAGGTAAACCTGAACTACACAGGGAAACCCTGTCTCAAAAATAAATAAATAAATAAATAAATAAAAATTTAAAAAAACAGGAAAAACTGGAATCTACTAAGTACTAGACCCCTTTCTAACACTTTATTATATTTAATACTCAAAACTACTCTATTCTATGATTATAGTTAACCTCCCCACATGGTAGGAAGCTAATATAAAAAAGGCTATGCAGGGCCTGGTGGCATATGCCTATAATCCCAGCACTTGGGAGGCTGAGGTGGAAAGATT